GTCAAGTCTAGCAGGCGTCAAGTCTAGCAGGCGTCAAGTCTAGCAGGCGTCAAGTCTAGCAGGCGTCAAGTCTAGCAGGCGTCAAGTCTAGCAGGCGTCAGGCGTGCAACTTCCAGACTCCCAGATCACGTGTAGGCGTAGCCTACTATGTATCGGTACATACATGGACAAAGAGTTACCCAGTCGTAGGAGATAGCGAGGTCGCCAATGAACCTCGACCTTCAGTTGAACCTCTTGGCTCACATTTAAAATCATGCATGTCGCTCTTGATAAGCCTCTGATGGCCTCATTCCCCTGGCTTATCCTCCTCCCGAATACTCTTCAAGACTCCCTCCGCAACCCTGACTCCTTCAAGACCAGCAGGCAAACCACAGTAAGCTGCCACTTGCATCAGAGTCTCTCGAATCTCGAGCTCGCTTGCACCATTATTGATTGCACCTCTCACATGCACGGCAAGCTCCGTCATTCTGTTCAATGCACAGAGCATAGCGATATTGAGCAGGCTCCTCGTCTTACGCTCCAGTCCAGGCCTTGTCCAAATGCTTCCCCATCCCCATTCCGTTGCCAATTCTTGCATCGGGCGAGCAAAATCGGACGAATTGTTCTGTAATGAGCGCTGGACATGCTGAGGGCCAGTCACATCGGTGCGAATTGGGATGCCCTGATCATAGAGCGTCTTGTGGGCTCCAGCCACTTGGTCGTCCGAGGCCATTGGGCTTGAGTGAATGTGCCTTGGCTCTGTCGGTTCAGCTTCCAAGACGCACAAAGAGATGCGTAAGATACTAGTACTGAGAACTCAGGGCAGAGCCTTTGTGGACAGAGTGTGTTTTTTGGAGAATTCTGCCGGGGAAGCCCCACGACCGAGACTTTCCTATGAGATACGGTAAGTACGGAGGTACTCCGTACGAGTAGCTCGTACTAAATCTACATGCTGAATGAAGCCGGGTTCATGTGCATTATGCGGGGCTTAAATAGGGCTCAGTGGACTCACTAGCTAGGCTCATGATGGCTCCTAGGCTGGCACCTCGTTAAGCGACTGGCGTATCTGACCAAGGCTGCAAACTCCCGCCATGGACATATTTTGTATGCATGTCAGCCACAACAGTCATTGCGTCAAGTCGACCCTCGTCTTCATACGAAGAGCTTTGATTGATGCAGCAACCTTGGAACCCTACGAGCGTGGGAACATCGAAATCACGCCCATGGTCCAGCATCTTGTTCGACCTGGTCCTCCGCCCCACTGCTTTCCTTCTTCTCCACATCCGGAGTATCCCCATGGTTAGTACGGCCCTTAGACGATCTCGGCACACTCGAAGGCGGCACCTTGTCTCCTGATGGAGTGGTCGAGCACCCCAGATCGCGGGGCTAGGTACATCGTGCTGCACAATAAAGTCAGTTCTGTTCTCAGAAAATCGGCCACCTTCTCTCCTGGCTCTCCTCAACTGTAATCTCGTCGACCAATATTCGATCTTCCTGCTACTTCTACACAATGGCATCCTCCGAAAAGCCTTGGACTATCATTGTTGGCGCAGGGCCATCGGGCTTACTCCTAGGTCTAATGCTTGCGAAAAAGGGTGTCAATGTACATATCTTGGAAGCTGCTTCAGAACTGGATGACTCTCCTCGCGCGGCATACTATGGTCCTCCAGCTGCTTACGAGTTACGGCGCGCTGGAGTTATCGACGACATCCGAAAGGAAGGTTTCGATCCATGTATGACTTGTTGGAGAAAACTCGACGGCACATTTCTTGCCGGACTCGACAACAGCTATCTGCACGACTATCCAGATCGGATAGCATGTCTGCCCTTGGCTCAGCTGGATCGCCTTCTTTACAGACACGCAATTGCTCAACCTACGCTGAAAGTATCCTTCAACCACAAAGTCGTGGATATCGGCCAGGATGCAGACAAGGCTTGGGTTGACGTGGAGACTCCGGAGGGCCAAAAGCGCTTGGAGGCAACCTATATCGTTGGCTGTGATGGAGCTTCCAGTATCGTCAGAAGGTGTCTGTACGGAAAGGAATTTCCTGGGTATACCTGGGACAAGCAGATTGTGGCCACAAACGTATGTCTTTCACCCCAGTATTGTGGCATAACGTTTGCTAACTCTTTCTAGGTGGCCTACCCATTCGAGAAATATGGCTACGACGACGCCAACTTCTTTATTGATCCCGAACATTGGCACATGGTTGCTCGACTGACGAAGGAGGCCGACGGTAGCGGTTGGTGGCGTGTAAGCTACGGCGAGATCAGCGGTCTTAGTCGAGAGGAGCTGATTGCCCGACAACCCATGAAATTTGAGGCCATGTTGCCCGGACATCCCAAACCTGGCGATTACGAGCTTGCTGCCATCAGTCCATATAAGATCCATCAGAGAATTGTGGATAAGATGAGAGTTGGGAGATTCTTGCTTGCAGCCGATGCGGCACATCGTGAGTTCCATCCCATGAAGAGTGAGAACATCCACTGACGTTGGCGTCCAGTCAACAACCCTTTCGGTGGTTTGGGTCTCACAGGTGGTTTAACCGACATTGGAGGTCTGTACGACTGCATGATCGGCGTGTATGAAGGCAAGGCCGATGAGAGCATTCTCGACAAGTACTCAGAAATGCGGCGACACAAATTCCACACCGTGACAGATCCCATCTCAACAGACAATATCAAGAGATTATTCGACCAGGACCCAGACAAGGCGATGGAGACTGACGAGTTTCTCAAGTTGCTCAAGAGCATGGAGAATGATAAAGAGGCACAGAAGGAGTTCATGAAATCTCCCATGGCATTGCGCTACGATTTCACCCAGCATTATAAGACGAACGAGACACAGGCCCAGCAGAACGGAACGAAGAATAACGTTGTATCGCATGTGGAACAGATAGCAGCTGTTGGAGTAGATGGCTAGACAGTTTGAACTTGGAACAAAGATATACTGTCACAAGACTCCGTACCTAGGTGACTACCTAGTGAGCTAGGTACCTGACCTTGGATGTAGTGGATGTATTGGCATGGCAAACAGGCAAACCGCATGATAGATTTAGCGATTGGTCGAGTGGCATTTTCCGATGCAGGTTCGCGATGCCATGGCCAGAACCACTCCAGACGTCATTTGAAGGGTTTTGTTACTGCGCCGCTGTCGATTTCAACACCTCGAAGCTCCCCATTCATATTCAAACAAGCGTATCTCGACTCAACAACACTCGCCGTTTACTCTTCAATACTCAAAACCATTTCAGCCCCTTGTCGAAGAACGTTGTCTATATGCCTCGAGGCCCATAGATTCGGGTGATCTTTTCTTGCACCCCACCTCTTCCCTGTACCACCTGCCGCCACCGATGAATTCCTGAAGCGCAACCATGAAACCCTCTGATCAAGGGAGCCCGCTCCTCCGTCGCAAGTCTTCGACTCCCCATTACCAGACGTTCGGCGGCATCTCACCGCCCAAGACTAGAGGACGACCTCTTTCCGACTCATCCAACTCCTCCAGCCATGACCTTCATTCACATTCCGAGAATGAGAACCGCCACGGCTCCTCACCACTACCCAAGAAACAAATGGCCGTCTTGGCTGTGATAGCACTATGCGAACAGACGGCCCTCAACTCTATAAGCCCCTACCTGCCTGATATGGCCTCGAGTTTCCCCGAAGTCAAAGCCGGCCAGGTCGGAGTCTACGTCGGCTTAATAGCCTCTGCCTTCGCCCTAGCCCAGCTTGCGACAAACTTCTTTTGGGGTTGGTTGTCGGACCGTATTGGGCGGAAGCCCGTGATTTTACTGGGGACACTATTCACAGCGGCATGCTTTGTCGCATTCGGATTCTGTAGGACCTTGTGGCAAGCTATACTGGTGCAGGCATTGATGGGTCTACTGAATGGAAACCAAGGTGTCGTGTCCACCTGTTTGGGGGAGATCACAGACCGCAGCAATCAGTCCCAAGCGTTCACATATCTCCCAGTCATATACGGGCTTGGAGGAATTACAGGTCCAGTCATTGGTGGAATCTTGGTCTCTCAGAGAAATCCCTTCGACAAGTCGAAGCCGAATCCGTACCCTTATCTCCTGCCAAATCTCCTCTCTGCTAGCATACTCTGCGCCGATTTGGTCGTCACAGCAATCTTCCTCGAAGAGTCTCACGAAGAAGCACAATATCTAGCTCCGATCGGCACTCGGGTCAAGCACCTCTTCACATGGATCTGGGAGTTCACATCATCAAGCCGGCCACACTATCTGCGACGCAGAGGCAAGTCGCACAACCAACGTCCTCAGACTAACGGCATGGCCGAGGTCTCAGACGACGATGATGCGAGTGATGATGGCCTCGAGAACACTGCATTCCTCCCTGCAACGGAGGAATTGCAGAGCAAGGACGTGCTCAACCGTGATACTGTCTTACTTCTCCTGACATATCTCATCTTCCAGCTCTCAAACATCTCCTTCAATTCACTCTATCCTATCTTCGCACAAGCCAAACCTCCCACCGGCCGAAATTTGCACCCTAACGAGATAGGCCTCTCGCTCGCCTTTGCAGGGCTTGTGACAATTGTATTCCAGGTCGGCGTCTTCGGCAAGCTCCGTGACAAAATGGGCAATCGATGGGCGTATAGAACAGGGCTTGCCGGTTTTGTCATCGCCTACCTGCTCATGCCATGGGTGGGATATAAACGAGGAGATGATGGCGACGGCACCATATCCAGTGGCGCCGCATGGTTGTGGTTTGAAATCTGCCTGGTGCTTCTCATCAAGACGGTTGCAGCGGTCGGAGGTCTGACGAGTGCTCTGCTATTGGTAGGAATCTCCGCCTTCAGATGTCCTCACCCGAAGTCTAGCTAATGTTGTATGTATAGATCACCAACTCGGCCCCAAACCACAATGTCCTAGGCACACTGAATGGTCTTGCGCAGACACTCTCCGCTGCCGGTCGAGCTGTTGGACCGTTCGTATCTGGCGGTTTATTCTCGCTTGCCACCAAGGTTCGCCCAAAAGGTGAAGCTCTTGCATTCGGCCTATTCGGTGGCATCGCATTCATCGGGTTCCTACTTAGTTTTGGCATTCGATCGCCCAACCTGGAGGCTGAGGGGTGGGAGACGGGAAGTGAGGGCGATGATAGTACGAGTGACAAGTCGGAAGACGAGGAGAGCTGATCTCACCATGGGAGCTTTCAGAGAAGATCCGTGTTGGATATACCTCTATTCATAGAGAACAAGCGACGGCGTTACGAGGTACGAAAAGAATGGTATGATACACTGGTAGGCAGCGACAGCGCACTACAGGACTTGGGCGATATAATTTTGTCCAGACGGAAGTCCACATTGGCACTAAAAATGCCATCAATGTTTGCTTTCATTTCATTCACTTGCCTCCCTTCACTTCAGCCGTCCAGACAACTCCTCGACTGCCATTCTGCTGCCGCGTCCATTAACCTACCCTTGCGCACAATGTTCTACTTACCTTCAGCCCGGCGATGGCTGCTGCTGACTCTGATCGTCCTCGGTCTCATCATCTCTCTTCACATCTCGCAGCGATGGCACTCATCTCATTACGCCCTCCTTACAGCAGCTCTACAAGCCTACACTCAACGAGATCACCAAGTCACCACTGTCAGTGTCAGCGACAGTTGGCTCTCCTTCACTGACGGTGTATCTCGATCTCAATCACAACCTCAACACGTCGACGGAGAATACCTGTCACTACCAATCCCTCGAGCGCACCCTCTCGTACGTAGCCTCCAGGCCTGCGCGACCGGGACAGTCAATCCAACCATCTCGCACATCCGCCTGCCCAACGTCCTGTACAACATCACATTCACGCCTCCCGATGCTCCTCACGACGATGCAATGCGGTTTTTCAATCCGGCCATCATCCCGTTGCCGCATTGGTCCTCGTCAGACTCACCTGGTGACGGGCCGAAGTACATCCTGATATCCCGCCTCGTGACCGCAGGCTTCCACCAGGAGTCACACATCTGCCTGGCTGACATATGCTTACCTGCCGCCTCGTACTCGGCGGCTTTGCCACCAGACGCCCGCTCCTGCACCAATGCTGACACCACCCTCCTCGGCAACCTAGGTGGCATGCGCTGCATCACACCGCCGCTGAGGATCAACATCCCGCCAACCCCAGCCGAACAGTGTAACGGAGCGTGGTCCGCGTTCCCCGATATCCCGGGCTTCCACGACCCGCGCGCATTCTGGTCCGGCAAAGGCGAGCCCCTGATCCTGGTCAACTCGGCGAGTCGGTATGCGTGTGTCGGACTGTGGCTACTGGACCTGCGCACCATCGTGCCCGATCTCGAGAAGTTGTTGAGCCGAGGGAAAGGTAAAGATACTGTGGCGTTAGGCAGGGTGATGAGTTATCCGCTCTTGACCGAAATCACGCGCAATCCGAGATCGAGTCGCGCAAGTGTCGAGAAGAACTGGGTGCTGTGGTTTCCGGGGCGGGACGAGGCGTACGTACAATATGATCTGCTTGGACCTGTGTTGGCCGGGGGCGAGACAGTCAACAAGATCACCACGAATGGGACGGCCAAGCAGGGCAACAGCCGCAGAAACGGTACGACAACAAGACCAGCGGGACGCGCATTCGCCAAACTAATCGGCAATGGCTATACGACGCCGAACATGACGCATCCGGAAGAAGTGCCATGCTTCGGACCCCAGGATGAGATGGACACTCTGGGAAACCATGGCCATTGGCATCAGGGCTCGAATTCTCTGCGTCTCCTGCTGTGCACTCGCGCGCAGGCGCGGAAGGGAGCATGTGATGAGGAGCAGGCGGTGCAGGACGGAAGGTCGGTTCATCTCGCGATCATGCATCGCAAATTCACCAATGAGATGGACTTGCCTTTACGGTATGAGAGGTACGTTGTTGTCTGGGAGAGTCGTGCGCCGTACCAGATGCTCGCTGTGAGCAAGTGGCCGTTGCTGATGAGGAATGAGCGAGCGAATCCCTGGACAGCCGAGCAGAACTGGCCGGATAACAAGAGTGGCTGGAATGGGACAGTACGAGGGACGATGTCCGAGGGGAGGATGAGGCCCAAGAGAAACCAAGGCGAGAAAGACCCTGAAGATTTCAAGAGCACTGCTTATTTCACGTACACGCCGAGTCTGGCTTGGGCCTGGAGACCTCATTCTGCAGGTGTTGGCGATGAAGAGGAAGAAGATGCCGACACTGAAACAATGTCGCGTCTTGGGATAGGGTATCTGGGTGATGATGTCCTGGTCGGAATCGGGCTGGACGACGTGAGCCAGGTCTTTGCCCGAGTCAAGGCAGATGATCTGGTGCAGTGTGTGAGGCTTTGCCCTGGAGTCAAGTTTGCTGATGAAGCGCGTACGGCAGGGTATCCTGGTTGAGACTGGTGCTATATGTGAATGGAGATATGAACGGCCATTCGTGATACTGATACTTGGTAGTCCAACAAACAGATGTAGCTGGATTCGCTGAGCTTGTACGGAGTACTCATAACAATTTGACGAAGATTTTCAACCCTCAGATTAGCTCTCTTGTGTTTGCATCGACTGCCAGATGTGTGGGCATGTTTGTAAAGAACAGAGAACATCACACCCAACACTTCGGCTGTCTTCAACTTTGGCTTTTCGGACTTCGACTCGTCATCGGGTTCTCCTCGTTCGTCAAATCAATGCTCTTTCATCTCACACACTCAATTCCACATCCCAGGTCGCTGCCAGCTTGCCCCGAAGTATCTCGCTCCGCCGCACGCATATAAGTAATGGTTTCTCTTCTTCATTCATGTTCCTCAACCCGGTTGCCAGGAAGTTTGTGGGGGTCCCCATCATCGAGACAGGATATCCAGTGCCCAAGTCGGTTGCTCGTCATGTGGGAGGCGGAATAAAGAGGTGGAAGGTAAAGTGAAGAATCGACAGGGAAAAGATGATCTCCTCCGCGCGCACACACTCGCATCTCTCTGCGCGACGAGGCTCAGATTGAAAACTACATTTGAATCCTTTAGCCCTCAGTAGCAGCGCGAGCAGAACGGGCTGATGCTGCAGTAGCAGACCGGCCACAGACGCTCGCGCATAAGACAGTATTACCACATACCGTCGCTTCAGGGTGGAAAGTGGGAGTTGTCTTCATCGCCTAGTGTGTGCGTTGGGATACGGCCCATCCTCGCTCCATGCGCAATCCTTCACTTGCCCTTTGCTCGCCAATTCTTCCCACCTCTTTCCATCGAGCACCAGTATGCGGCATCAGGATCGACTTCGCAATATTTCAGCGAAGGACGGTCGAGCGTCGCGTAAAGATTCTCGAGAAGGCAGCGTGACTTGACGTGCTCGCGATGTGTGCAAGGCGGGCGAGAAAGAAAAAGCGCAGGCTTGGCGTGAAACGAAAGGAGCGGTTTTCATATCGTCTTGGTCGCAAACACACAAAGGTCTCGGGAACCTGCATCTCTTCGATCTCTGTTCCTCGGTGTGTTCACCGGGGACAAAGACACGGCGCGGATACTTGCAGGCAAGGACCCGTCACCTGCGCCTCCTCCCCTCACACTTTAGCTCGGGTATGTGAAGAATTTGGTTTCGGCATCGAGATTGTGCTCCTGGAATATCACAAATGTAAGCACACATTTCATCCGATTATGCTGAGCGACGGTGACGATATTCTTATAAAGACTGACCTTCGACCTATGCGTGACAAACGTCGAAGGGAGATCAGACGCGGAATGGAGGTCTGTCATGCTCTGCATTTGCGAGGGAAAGCGGATCCCTGCTCACTACCTATTGGAATGTCCATCATGGCCTAGCGAGCCCCATTATCACGGCCCCTGCGTTGATTACGCGAGTTGGGGATATCATGGGACTTTCCAAGGTGGAGGTCGGTCCTCGCTTTCTTCCTCACATCTCGAGATCTCCAGCTACGCGTGGACGGACTTAAATTGCACAAGGCTGGACTCGATACGGTCTTGTGCTGTTACACTGTACTGGCTCCCAGCTCGTCGGCCCAGAATTGAGTTGCAGCTCAGGTATGGAGAATTGTCCCTCGCCTTTCGGACAAACTAAGCCATCCGCCTCCCGGATCTTGGGCGCAGGTAGCCTTGGTAGCTGAGTTACACCGCAAAACTGTCCTCCGCCTAAAGAGCTCCCTAGCACAAGGGACATGGGCTTTCGTTTCCTTCTGCCGACTATTCCCACGGCGAGGGCCATCATGCTTCTAGCATGGCTGCAAGCCAGAATACGACAAACAGCCCCGTGGACCTATTCTTTGATATATGCTTGTTTGACAAACTCAGGTGCCTTCCTTGTTTGATGAAGTCAAGTGATGTTATTGTTCAGATATGCTCTTCTCAAGCTCAGTATCTCTTGCGCGGTATGATTCGTACCATGTTTCGCAAGAGCTGATTCCCACCAGCCTCCCTCTTATTAAATCTGGAACTGAGCACGGTTTGGAGTGAGGAGACTACGATCTCAAACTCGGGACCTGCAAAGTGTTTGGGCCATGCTCGTTGAGCCTGATTCCATTTACTCAGTGGATCGCGGCATACAAGGACCTCGAAGCCCACGTCAAGCCCAACGAGAGGGAAAGCTGCTTGTCGTACTATTTCGGCATCCCGGAAATCCATGCCACCAATTTCTTCCCGCTCGCCTTATCTGTTCGCCTTCGAGCAGTATCGGACCCGCGAGGACTTGTACGACACGCATTTCAACTCCGCGGCCATGCGGACTTTCCTGGCCAAGATCCCCGCGACGATGACGACCGGTCTCGACCTCACACACTACGAAGATAGCAGCGGCTTCCTCAACAGACACAGACTCACACACTACGAAGATAGTAGCGGCTCCTTCAACGGACACGGACACAGACAAGTGACGTCGCAGCATGGTGATCATCTGAAGTAGTACCGGATCATTTGGGATACTAGGATCTGGACGTATCCGGGAAAACGGCAAGACGTCCTCGACCGTCTGGCCAAGCTTGCCTCGTGGGTCGAGGAGAATGAGCCTGGCACGTACTCGTTCCTCGTGCATAAGGGATTGGATTATGAGAATGACATTCGGATTTTGGAAAGGTATGAAAACAGGGAGGCTTTGGAAGACCATCAGGGCAGGAAAGAGGTCGTGGACTTCTTCTTGTCCTCCAAGGACTTGATCCGCAGCATGGAGGGTCATTCGTACGTCCCCAATGGATTAGGTTGGCTGCACAGATAGAGTCATATGTAGGGGGAAGTGGTGGAGGATGAAAGCTACAATTTTTAATGTTTGATTCTAGTGTCACAGGATTCAATACCTGAAGTCTAGATGCCTCCGTTTCGTTGGCCTCTGAGACCGAATGAATATTAAGCTAGTAACCGACACCCCAGACAGCTCTAATGATATTTGTTCCTGTCCGCCAGTTCGGCGTTTTCCAGGTAGACCTCAATCTATCGGGGCTCTGATTAGCTGGGGAAGTCTCATATTCCATTGTACTCTACTGACCTTGTTGTTCATCTTGGCGTCAACGTCTTTGCAACACAGACATGCAAGGAAGCCGACAATGCCGAAACCGAGAGAGGTATACGCGGTTACCCTTCAAAGGCCGTCAGTCGCCCACCAGTCGGCTAGAGGTAGAGCGGAAGCACAAAAAAACTCACTTGATCCTGTGGACATATGCCTGCTCGACTGCTCCACCAACTGCAGCAACAATAGATTTACTATAGGTAGCTGCCAACGCTGGAGTGCCAATCAGAGTCATCAGCTTGTCAACTCCTGAGCGAGGTAATCCGGCTGCAATCGCGGCAGTATGGACGAGTTTCTTGGTCCATTCGTTCGTGACGTTGGTCAGCACAGTTGGGTAGATGGCTGCCGCAACTATAGTGTAATGTTAGCCAACAGGTCCTCGGCCTTCAAGGACACCTGGGGGCAAACTCATACTTGGTCCGGCAGCGAAGCGAGAAACTCCAGCAATCCCACCACTGAAGCCTAGATCTTTGTGGTCCACTCCCATCTGACTGACAGCAATGGCCAGATATATGGCATAGCCATAGCCGACCTGGGACATGAAGACAAATGCGATCATCATCCCTTTCCTTTCAGGGGTGGCCAGTGCAAGCAGGCCGCCAAAACCGACCATCACAAAGACAGATCCTGTCAATTGCCACTGCCAATTTCTGATCTTGCTTCCAAATTCTGACAACAGCAAGGCACCAAGGGTAATTGCAAGTCCCTGTATTACTGAAAGAACGATACCGTATTTCCAGTCAGTGCCACCGTTCGTGTAGAAGACATTGATCATGGTCGGCCATAAGATACTGCTGGAGTAGTAGAACATGTTCACGACGCCCAAGGCAATCAGAGGTGCAGTCAAATCCCTCCCATGTGAGGCAGTGAACACATAGGTTGGAGTGAGAGGGTGTTTGGTGTCTGAGAACCTCTCCCACAGGGCGAAGCAGACGATGAAGAAAAAGCCGATGATCAAGGGCGCAATGACATGAGGGTCATTTGACGGATATGTCGTGGTCCACACGATTCCCATGAGCACGGGGAGGGCTCCGGCCACAAAAAGAATACCGCCTAGAGTTCCCGCTTGTCAATACATGTACCACGGAGGAAGACACAATAGACGGAACAGAGGTCTTACCGACGTAATCGACCTCCTTGACCATCTGCTTGATCGGTATACCATATCTGTAGACGTGAGTGAGCATTTCACTGCCTGTGGCAAGGAAAGGAGACACTGACGGATGTGCTGCAGGTAGTAGAGGAAAAGAAGGCCCAGGAACGACGCAAACTGGGCAATCGCTGCTGCCCAGAAGTTCCACTTCCAGCTGCCTGTTTCATATCCATATCTAGCCGTCACAGGCGCGAGAATGACGGCCATCAGAGTTGTAGAGTCCGCAATTACCACCCCAATATGTCTCCATTTGTTGGGGAGCAGTTCCGACAGGGCAAATGCTGCCAGCTGGGGGCATCATGGATCAATATCCGCTTCCTTTCTTTCAGGACGACCTCATCTAAAGTACCTACTTGACAATTTCCGCCACCAAACCCAGCGATGGCCATACCGGCAATAACAGAATTGGCATTTTTGGAGGAGGCGGTCACAAGGTGGCCGGCAACACAGATCTATCAGGGTCAGAATACTCGCGCTCATGACTTGCTGAAGGGGGTGATGGTTTACAAAGTTTCCGATGACAAGAAACCAACGTCGGCCAAGCAGATCCGTATTCGCTCCACTAGATGTTGAGTCGGTTAGCTGTGACTGCTCATACCATATGTGGTGCCCAAGGTGCTTACCAGAGCAGGAAACAGATTGTTATGGAGATTGTCCGAGCCTATCGAAGTTATCAGTCACGATCTTAACAGAAAAGGTATCGGAAGACTTCTCACAGGAATGAACCAGACATATTTGTCTAGTTCTCCAAACTCGTTCCCAATAAACCCACCAATGGAGGCCATGACGGGAATTGGCCAGAATGAAAGCCCATATCCGGTAGCGAGGATCTCATCTTGATGAGCGATCGTCTTGCATATATCGTACGGGCGAAATGTTTGTAGAACCCACACAAACAACAGTCCAGGTCTTCAATGTAACAACTGGCTCCTCCTCGTCCTCCTGATGCGCTCCTTCCACGTCCGCTTCGTGCTTGGGTGGTACCTCAACTTCTTTCGTTGTGCCTCGTTCGCCCATTTTTGCTGGAGCGTGTACAGCAGTAGCTGATTGAGGACTGTCGGCAACCATGTGTTCGTGAGGATCTATCGTGCTTGGGAATACTCATATGTATGCGGTACGATCTGGAAGGGTCCATGAGGACTTCTTTATTGACCGTCTTCCAGCCCATCTCGGAGCTCGATTGCCGGGCACGTATAGCCCATGCTGTACAAAGCCTAGAGAACAGGGTCTGTGTCGGCGAGGGATCTTATCCGGGGTATGGGTTTCGCTCGATGTCTCAGCATCCGCAAATCGATGTCCGAGTCCCTGATACCCCTCGAGGGTGACCGTACGCAGGCTCAAGCTTCGCATACTTCGGAAAAGCAAGGCCGGATCGCAAGTGAACTGAGTGTTTGAAGTTGAATTCTGCGTGGGTTCTATCTGATGAAGCGATGCTCTCAAGCACAATTGCGAAATCCCATCCCCACGGGGCAAAACATCTACTCGGAGAGCATATCAACGAGAATCCACAAGATCTAAGTTAGATCTGTCCTCCGTCCACCAGAAAATCCTGCCCAGTCGTGTAGCTGCTAGCATCACTCATCAAGTACAGCACCATGCCGACCAACTCGTCCGGAGTTGCAATACGTTTCATAGCGTTGCTGTCCTCGAAGAGCTTCTTCCTCGATGGATTTTGGCTTATGACGGAATGCAGCATGTCTGTCATGATGACCCTGCGTCACCATGTTAGTTTGATTGGTTCTTGTATGTGAGAGGCTGGAGGGCCTGCTCACCCTGGGCTAATGGAGTTGACTCGAATGTTGTGCGGTGCCATTTCAGCAGCGACTTGCTTGACAATGCCGCGGACTGCATACTTGGAGGCAGTATACGCGGCGATTGTCTGAGGGTACAATGACCTGTGTCCGGCTGTCGATGCTATACAGACAACTCTACCACCAGTGCCCTGCTTGATCATCTGAGCGGCACAATGCTGGACAGTGAAAAACACGCCGTTCACCTGTATCGCCAGAAAGTCTTATCAGCATCAATTGTCTTTGAATTTGAACTTCACTTGCGTACATTGACACCCAGAGAGTCTTCAAAGTCCTCTTGGGTGTGTTCCAAGAAAGGTCGGTCTCGAATGATTCCTGCGGCGGGTATGCTGCTCCTGAATCAGCTGGCTGCCATAACTCTAAAGGGATTCTTCATCTTGTTGGCCTTGCATACCAGCCATCTATGGATCCAAAATCATCCGCGATCCGATCGATTGTGGCTTTGAGTCCCTGGTAATCTCTCACGTCCGCCTTGTAATATTGATACTTTCCACCGTACTGCGCAAGGGCACTGAAACGTTCACTGGGCTCGTCGCTGATATCAATGGCAGCAATGTTGGCTCCGGCTTGAGCCAGTCCGATTCCAAAGTTCAGACCTAGTCCTCTGGCCCCTCCAGTGATCACCACCGTTTTGTCTTTGACCAGAAACCTGCTGAGGATTTCGGGAGCTGAGCTCGCCATGCTGGAGTTTATATAGTCTTGTTCAAATCCTAACGGATTGCAATGGACAAAATTGCTTCTCTTCAATATGGAACGTCAAGTTGGAAGTGGTTTGTGACACAATCTAGATCAAGGATGAACAAGGAGGCTCGGATATTGGTCACCGAGTACTGCCTAACCAAATAGGTGGCTGACCACCTTGCTAGCAACCGTTCCTGATGAACTTTGGGGTAGACTTTTGTAAGCTCTTAGAGTCTAGGTTGTGATGCATGATATTCTTGACTCCAGCTGACCTCGTTTCTCTACATGCAATTGGATTATACACAACGTGAGTCAGGTCAGGCTGCTGACTTCAAGCTGCACGACAACTAAACAACAGTCCTCAAGATCGTTATTGGAAAGAATCTTGTCCAGTCAACGCCTCCGAATCAAAGGTATGAAATATGTCAAAATGCGCTGAAATTGGCAGAAATTCATCAAAGGCGAACGGGCTGTATCCAGACAGGGCCTCTTCCGTGAATAGGTTACTATTGGCTTCGATCTGCTCACTCATAAAGTCGTTGCTTTTCGATCGGTCCCCAGTCATAACCTCGTGCTGATTCGACGGGGCCTGTGCCACTGAGTGGTGGCTGGCAAGATAGTCACTCTCCAGATGACATATGCGTATGATCAGTTGGATGATTTTTCGTACTCTTCTTGCCACGAAATAAGTCGTCTCTAACTCGCCGAGAGTGCGGACACAGATCTTGAGGGAATGCATCTCGGCCGAGACATTGGCCGGTTTCCTCTCAGAGACATACGCCACGAGTGTTGTCGCAGCCGTAGCGATGGTGTGCAGCGAAACACCGCTTAAGGACGAGGCATCGCCGTGCTTTTGCCGGTAGTCTTGGAGAAACCGTGCAATCTCAGTGGCATGGTGAACACATTGTCTCCGGGAGGTTGCACTTCGGCTCTCTGGTGCGTCAAGCCGACTCCCAAACCTAGCCGTCGGCTGGTGCAACAGAATCAACGCGGACGAGTACTGCATGTGCAGTACAGCAACAGACGGAGAGCAATCTGTGTGGTACTGAAGAGATGCATCCAGGTGAGCATGCCACATTCGCAGCCGTCTGTCCAGATCTTCCAGTTTTTCGACGGGACAGGTTTCCCCATTGAGAGCCTCGCATATGTCGCCGATGGTCTCCAGGAGTATAGCCCATGCGAAGGCCATTCGGGCTTCCCATGGGTCTTCATAGTTCGAGAAGTTTATTGTTTGGGCTGCGAGATTGTCGGTTTTCAGACAATATGGGCGTCCGAGGTAAAGAGCCCAAAAGCGGTCAAATACTAACGCAGCCCCAAAAGGTTATCTGTCGCGCGTTTATGTCTTCCGGGGAAAGGTTTACCGATGTCGTTGTCGTAGTCTTATGGATTCCTAGGTCGATTGCTAGCCTGCAAGCATCACCTGTCAAGAGCCAGCCTTTCGTGTCTCGTCCCAGAGCACAGTATACTACTGATATGAGGAGGAGGGCCTGGATTGTGGTAATTTGAGGTCTCTTCAACTCTTCTTCTAGATACCTCGCGGCCGTGGCGATGAGACTGGGCTGGGCCTCGTCCAAATCGTCATCTCTTGGGAGAGCCAGTGCCTTGACTGCTGGCCGAGGCGAGATCCGTGCCGCGCAAGCAAATATAGAATAGAGGAGGGCTTTGCTGACGTACTTTGGCTGTCGAGTCTGCAGGCATTTGAGAAAGGTTGCTTTGTGTAACACCTGAAGAACAGTGTGCTGATAATCCCAATACAGGTCCAGCAGATGGTCTGGTGTTTCTGGACCAATATCGTCGATGGTCCAGAAATCTTCATGGACCAATGATTCCCCCCATGCTCCAAGGATAGTTAATGAAACACTTTCAGTGAGGTGCAAACTAGAAGTTGGGCCAAAGAACTTATACTGTCCTTCAGCATTGCTGTTCAGCTGCGATTGTCGTTGACATAATCGAGAAATGAGATTGTTGTGCGTATTGGCAGTATAGACTTGAGTAGGGGTATCACGAAGCTCGATTGGCGAGAGAGCTTCATCAGAAGGTGGAGGAGAGGAGAAAATGATCTGGCCGGCACGAGCTGCCTCGAGAGCTGCTTCAAGTTGTGTAATGCGCGCCTGCAGGTTCTTGATATGGGCTTTGGAAGACGGACTGCCATCGTCAATGGAAATCCAGCTGAGTACGAACTGAGACGCACTTCTTCCGCTGGTCCTCGTTTGGCCAGACGCAGGGGATGCTCAATTTCTTGCATTTCTGGCAGCCATCGGGCGTAAATTCGCACTGTCACAATCAGAGGCGACATTCTCAGGTTTGCATCTAGAGCTGACTCAGTGCCTACCTTGATCTTCTTCGACCTACACAAGATGCAGGCAAGCGCATTCCCGTTGGTAGAGTCCTTCCTTTTCTTGATCTTGCCAGGTTGAACCAGTGCGCCCATATCACGCCCTGGACCTGTGGACGCGTTGTTCAGGGTTGACTCCATGGTTGAATTCAACTATAGCGTCAGTGGAGCCTGCTCATGATCGACAATGCTACCTCAAGTGGCAATGAACTGAAGCGGCTCAGTTTCGTACCAGATCACCGTTGCTGTCACTGGGCTTGAAGCAGACTGAGGACATCCTCGGGAATTCAAGCGGGGAGTTGGGGTGAGGTGGGTGAGGTGGGTGAGGTCTGGGAAAGGGATTTTGGTTAGAGGACGTTGGAGACCTCGGTCTTCGATTACCGGCGAGCGGGCAAGTTTTTGGTTGGAACTCTGTACCGTGGTCATGGTTGGCAGCATGATGGCACCAAGGGCTAGAGGTGTCAAAAGTACCCTTCAAGTTGCTTCAGTCTACTAATCAGCTTTTCTCCAGGAAAGCCTACGGAGTTGTCTTCAACCCTCCGGACTACGGGCAGGGTAGATTTAGTTGGGCTATTCGGTTTTAGACCTGGTGACCTACATATGATTCTCATAAGAGCATAGCGACCTTACACGGCTTCGACTCACACGGAGCACGAGCTGAGACCAAAAGTATATCTCGCAATATTACTCTAAGACAACTCTACCAGGCAATCCCTGCACACCGTCACGTAGCCCCTAATACCCTTCTCAGCTTTGCAGGTAGTAACTAAGATCTCCCCCATCAACTTCGAGCTGGGTGAAGCCATTGCCCAAAAACTTCCAGCGATTCTAATGGTAGGTCCAGCCGTCTGCCTGGGTCAAGGGAAGAAGGTAAGGAGTCATACCTTGCTATGATAACTGATATTAAAATCTTCGCCCCGAATGTTCTCAATCATATCTTTCTGGGAAGGATGTCAGGATCACAGATTCCTCCAGAGAGAGATGAACCTACGTAGTGCAATATGCTTCCTGGGTATAATGCTGTGATTCTGCCATGAACCTTGCCATTTTTATACCAACTTCTTGGGATGGTCAGCTTTTCGGTCCTCCGTAATCAAAGACACGTCCTACCTGCATCCGCTGGCCCATACGGTCCGCTTCATCAGTTCGTCCCCCCACACGTTCCAGTCATTTTGAACCTCTTGCTTGACATCACAGGATCTGGGTAAAGTGAGTACATGACTGACAGAGTCGACGGGCACACTTGAACCGACTTGATATCTTCCTTGGCCATCTTCACCAACCATTTGATGATGTAGTCGGCTGTCCAGTCTATGGCAGACGACAGGCTCCCATGCCCTAAGGGGCCAGCTGGACCATTGAAGATGAAATAGTTAGGCTGTCCACTGACTGCGAGTGAAAAGTACCCCTTGGGATCTTCGCTCCATTCATCGGCGAGCGACCGGCCTTGCCGGCCTATTTGAATCCATCTGGGCTTGAAGGAAACGTCAAAGCCAGTGGCCAAAATGATTGCGTCAAATTCACGATGCTTCTCCTCCGCTGTCTTGATCCCTGTAGGTGTAATTTCAATCACTTTGTAGGTGACGAACTCGGTGTTTTCTTGCATCAATGCCTCCAGATATCCATTTCCGGGTGTAAGTCGTCGACCTGCACCGAGTTAGATCTCATTAAGGTCTTACAGATGGATACTGACATCCAAGAGCCCAATCTGGAACCACTGATTCAATTATGGCCTCACGACCCTTGAGTCTCTCCAACATGAGCTCCCTTGTTCTCCTTGTCGCCTCGATATTGGCAGCCGAACCCTCAATGAGCTGTAGATCTGTTAGCATCTCAGCTTTCAACTGGGGTCATTGGGCGAACAGCGTCATACAAGTGATTAAACGCATGTGCAAGCCTCTTGCGATATGATTTCAATTCCTCGGGATGCGTTCGGAAGCGTTCTTTCTCCTCTTGTGTATCTAACCCGTCAGCTCGATGTTCCTGGCACAGGCTGCTTGACACGTACATGACGGATTGCAGCCAGGGGCTTTCGACAGATCTTCCACGAACGGCGCCGATATCCACTTTTGGCATTAGTAGGCAGTCTTTGTTCTCTTCTGGTGCAGGTAGCCTTACTGTTTTCGATCTTGCAAAATTGACTACCTTGGAGGCTACCCTCTGAATCTCGGGCACTATTTGTATCCCCGAGGAACCATTGCCCACAACGGCCACCCGCTTCCCAGAGAGATCATAGCCACTTTTGAAGTCGGCTGAAGGGCAGAGGTGGCCTTGAAACTCATGAAGTCCAGTTATATCTGGCCATGACCACGCGCTTTGAGTAGAAGTGTCAGCCTGCAGCTCTTGTGACGGTACTCGATACTTACTTGAGTACGCCCGAACCATTGATAAGCACGTTACACCGGTCTTCAATGATTCTGTCTTTTTGTTGTATCTTCAAAGCCCATGTGCCGCTTTCTTCCTCCCATATTGCCGAAATCACTTTCGATTCCAGGTGGACATTTTTGTCAATATTGTACTGGTTACAGATCTTTTCCAGATAATCTTGAATTTCACCACCAGTGGCATAACTAAGACCCCATGTTAGTCTTCCACCTTGTATAGCACCAGAACCCGTACAAAGTGCTCCAGCCTGGATTGGGAAGATCCAGCAAAGTGTATATGTGATGTGAGAGTGGGAGTTAGCGAGTGCCACTTTCCAATTTGTTGATAATTCTGCTTACGGCTGGTACGTCACACATCAGCTGGAGTGGTCAGCACTGTTCAAAGGACTTTGACAAAGGATAAACACATACCCCAGGATACTTATTTTCATACCACGTTCCACCGATGTCGGGCTGTTGAACTAATATCATTCAGTGCTGAAAGAGAGAATAGGATACCATGAAGACATTACGTTCTTCTCATAGATAACATGATCAACGATATGCTCGAGTTTATAAGTCCTCAGGATTTTGTTGGCTAGAGTTATCCCTAAGTGGAACCTTGTCAAAATCGTTCCAAGGAGTAGCAGTCGATTGCTTTCCATTCTTACCACTGAAACCAGCGCCGATAATGACAACTCGCAATCTTCGAGTCGGTTCCACAGTACTTCTTCTCTGATGGGAATCCAATTTACCGCCTTATGTATGGTACCTCCATTACACGGGTATGCAACTCGCGAAAATGCCTCTTCTATGTGTCCGTTCTTCAGGCTGTCGGCAGTCTGGCTCGGAATTCCGTTGCTGAAGGTGTGGATAGAACTCTGAGCGACGGTGGCATTGCTGGCCGCCATGAGTGCAAATTATTGAGAGGGCAGCGCTTCGAGATGTTTCCTATACAGACCCCTTGTCAGCTAGTTAATTGATATTAGGACCCCATAGCAACTAGTCCCTTGGGTGGATGGTGGTTCGGTGTTCGATGCCCGGCATCCGTTGTTTTCATTTTGCTGGAGGAAGATCCAGGCACACTGTCTCCACGTAGAAAGAGAGTTCGGATGAGTGACTGTCAAAGCATGGGTAGATTCCAGAGACATCAGAGGGTGAACGGCGCGTGTTAGTTCAATCAGGAGCAAAATTATTATGTTCTCCTAGCAGATTCCACAAGATGAGCGACATCAACACTAGAATATCGATTTCCCTATACGGTGATTGACTCGTGGGACGCGTTAAATGGGTATGTTATGCCAGATATCGTGGGAAGAGAGAGGACCATTGAGTTGTCACATCCAACTAGTGCTAGAAACATGTCAGTCAATTGAATATCCACCCTGGGAGGATCATATTTGGCGGTGCATCTGCTGGGGGTAATCAAGTATGGACTATGGCGAGCCTTCATCACTAAAACCCCGTTTGATTGACGTCTCACAGGCTGCCATGCTTGCCATACGACCCAGAGACGAAGGGTTCCATGGCGTTATCGACCAGATTCTCAATATTCCGTTGACCGGTCACCCGGAACTCTTTCCACAGGGCCAACATGCCTATTGATTTTCCTTAGGTCTGGAGCTTCTTCGTAATGAAGAATTGGCTTATGCGGAAGCTCTCAAGCATTCTGGGGTGGACGTGGATCTCTACCTCTTTCCTGGCCTGCTGCGTGGGTTTGCGATGTGCCCACAGCTTTCCAAAGTCATCGAATACCACTAGAACATTGTAGACTGGGTAAAAAAGAGGCTTCAACAGCTTTGGCCAAAGGACTTTTGGCCATTCGATATAAGCGTCCGAATACTTAGAGAGGCTTCCATGACCGGCAGGCTGTTTTGAAGACTAGTTCAAGCTCAGGCAGTCCAACCTCCATCCACTTTGTAGGTTGCGCCCGTTACAAAACTTGCTTCGTCGCTCAAAAGAAACGCAACCACATTTGCCACCTCCTTTGGATCAGCCTGACGGTCGAGGGCTTGCATGCTCGTTCCCACGGTCCCATTTCTAAAAGTGTTCTCCATGTTGACAACCATTGGTGTGCGAATAACCCCTGTTCGCGATCAATCAGTTACTACCCAGCCAGATAAATATCAGACCGGGGAACGGTACCTGGTGCCACAGCATTCACCCTGATATTGTGAGAGCCGTACTCTCTTGCGGCGGTCCTTGTCAATCCTCTCACCGCGTGTTTGGAGGCATTATATATCCCTGTGTCAGCAACACCGATGAAGCCAGCAACGCTGGAAATGCTGACCTATATTCGGGTGGTGGTCAGTAGTGACAATTATGAAAGGCACGCAACACTGGGCAAGTGCATGCAACATACGATCGAACCTCCCTTATCTAACATCTTGTTCAACTCGGCTCTCAAGCAGTAGAAGACTCCCGTGCAGTTGACACCCATAACAAAATCCCAATCCTCGTCTCGAGAATCAGCAAGATGGCGGCCGCCCTCTCGTTCCACGCCAGCGATATTGGCCGCGCCATCGAGGCCGCCGAGTCGTCGGACAGTCTCATCCATCCATTCGTTCACCTTTGAAGCATTGCGCACATCCAGAACCGTCGCGAAATGCCCCTTGCCATCCAATGTCTTGAGAGCAGCGTCTAGGCCCTCAGCGTTGATGTCAGACAAGGACAATACTGCCCCCCTGCTTGCCAGAACCTGAGCTGTGGCCAAACCGATACCACTAGCAGCACCTGTCAAGGCAATCTAGGCACCTGTTGTCAGTTCAATCACTCATGGTAGACTTCGAGTAGCAACCTACCCGCTTCCCGGCAAGAGACGACATGGTCAGTTGGTCGCTACCTTCCAGCTTTGCCTAAAACCTCCTTGCGCACTCGTTATTGCTTAGAAGATATTGGCTGTCAACGGCCAGCGACTCGGTGGCTTTCGTCATCATAACAGGGCCTGCTCGTGCGGAGCGATTGCTCGCCTCCCCTCCTACCGAGTACTCAAGATCGAAACCATACAGCTGAGCGACATCGTCGGTCTTCGATCTCCGGGAGTGGAGGGCATGCATTCCCAGTAGGCCCCCGCACAGCACGGAGCAGCTCATTGGCCCGTGGGGTAGTAGCAACGATACAACAAGCGTCGAATATGAGGAGGCGAAACCCTTTACCGAGGGTCTCGCTAGGATCCAAATCTTCATTGCCAGTTGGGAGGCACAGCGCGCTCCCCTCGAGGAAGAAATTCACATCGTGCTTTTCCCTTCGGTCATCGTTGTTCTGGCTGGATCCATACTGTAGTCACGGACAAGGCCGAACGATACACTGCTCCTGTACATTGGCATCTGAGACAAGCGGGAAATTGATATTCTAACACAAAACAAATCCACTGTAGCCTTGCATCTCGCTTTCTGAACAACATCTCTTGTATGCTGGCATCCCCGCCATGTAATTGAGAGCCTCCCTTGGTTTGCCGGGGATATTCTCGCCATACCACCAACTATGGCCCTCGGCAAACAATCCTTTGAAACCCTCGACGTTCACATGCTCTCTCCACTTCTTTTCAGCTTCCTCTGTGGCCTCAATGGTTCTGATAGAGTTCTGAGCCAAGTATTTTATGCATCTGACGATCCACGCTCCTTGGACTTCAGCCGAGATTGGACCAGTGGCAAATGCTGTGGGTGCTTGTGGCCCGTAGACAAAGAACATGTTAGGAAAGCCGTGAATGCTCATGCCCAAATTTGTGTAAACCCCATTCGCCCATTTTTCGGTAATATGCTGCCTACCGGTACCACGCAAGTCGAGTTGAAGCATGCTGCCGCTAATCGAATCAAAGCCAGTAGCCATTATCAATACGTCGAGTTCATGTACCGCACCATCCGCTGTTTTGACACCCTCAGGAACAAGTTCCGTGATCGGGTGTGCGCGGACATCGACCAAGTCGACATTTGGTTGATTGAACACCTCGAAATAGCTTTGCTCCAAGCTGATCCGCTTCGCACCAAATGGATGTGGCGGCTTCTCTGGAGCAAGGATTTCGGCATTCCTTGGGTCCTTGATTCGGGGGAGGGTCTTCTCGCGCCAGAACGCATATGCAGTGTCGTTGACCTTCTTGTCCTGGAGCATATCGGAGTAGTTACCCAGCCAGAAGTGTAGACCGCCGGTACTCCAGAGATCCTCGTATGTTCTCAATCTCTCCGCTTCCGAAGCCTCAGCCCCTTTTTCTGGCTTGAAATCATAGTTGAAACCAGCGTAGGAAGCAAACTGCTTCTCACGCCACCGTGGAATGTTGTCCCGAATGTATTGATTTTGGGCATCGTCAAAGTTCGGATTGGTCATGGGAATGGACGTGTTCGGTGTTCTTTGAAACACTGTCAAGTGCGATGCCACTTTCGCAATATTCTGGATAGCTTGGACTCCGGAGGCACCTGTCCCAATCACGCCTACACGCTTTCCATCGAGGGTTACACCATCTTGCGGCCATTGTGAAGTATGGTAAAGATCCCCTCTGAAGTTTTCTAAGCCTTTGAATGGTGGCGTGTAGGACTTCGCAGCGAACCCTATGCAAAGGCAAAGAAACTGACTGCGATAGCGAGGGTTTGGGTCGTCGTTGACCTCGACCGCCCATTGGAGTGATTGCTCATCCCAGTGAGCACCGCTGACGCGTGTGTTGTAGTCAATGTGCGATTTCAGGTCCCAAACATCAGTGACGTGCTCGAAATAGTCAACCAGCTCATCTCTGCCAGGGAAACGTTGTTTCCAATTCCAATCGGCCCATGTCTCATCAATTGTGTACTGATACTGGGGCACTTCCGTGTCGACACGTGCCCCGGGATAGCAGTTCCAGTACCTAGAGACAACACGTTAGCATATAGTCTGGAGGCAGAGGCAGGGCTATTGCCCGCACCATGTCCCACCGGGGCGAGGAGCTGCCTCCAAGAGGCGTACCGAGAAGCCTTCCCGAGTAAACTTGTGAAGTAGGTAAAGGCCGCTAAAGCCTGCTCCAACAACGATGATGTCGAACGTCTGATGTTGTGCAATAGAACCCATGGCGGCGGTATATATGAAGGGCAGGAGAAACAATTCTGTGATTCTCTTTTTGAAAGACAGAAAAACACGAGGTGAGTAATCGACTGAGATTCAGGCGGAACCTGCGAGCTTTCAGTTATTGGAACCACCGAGGGATCTTTCGGTAAAAGATACCCGCGATCCAGCTTTTGAGTCTTGGGAATCTTAGTTACCCCAAGGCAAGTCGATCAAACCCCGGGGAAGACATGCCAGACTTGTGAGCAACAGCCCTGCATTGTCTAGTGTCCTTGGCCATTGATTCGGTGCCATTGTCTTTTACTGAAGAAGATCTCCTCAGGCCTCTTATATGCGACTTACTCCAAGGTCCCAGACATTTTGGGATTGAAAGTTTGCATTTGGGGGAGGCCAAGCGGAATTGCGGCTTAAGAGGAAGCCCGGACAACGATCTCCGTAGGGTCATGCGTCCACCTCTACAGAAAACACATACTTGGGTGATTCATTCATGGCCATCTTTACCTCACCTGTGTCAATGTTCGGTCCGCCCTGGATCATGCTAACAAGAAGTTCTTTCCTGCATCTCGCAGTGACCACAAGTGACCCACCAACGTTCCATTGAAAAGGCTCAGGACCTGAGATCCAGCCCAGGACCGTGGGATTGTGTGTTACGATGCGGGACGTGAAAGACTGCGCACGTAGGGCAAAAGGGGCTGCTGCACCGCTAACAGCAGCCATGTTCCCTGTGTAGGAGGAAAATCATCATGGCAAACGAAAGTTCTCAGACTTTTGATGTATCCTAAATCCTCCAGCAGCAGCAGCAGTTGCAGCGGGTATGATTCGCGGTAGGTCAATCACGTGGAATACGGTGAAGGGTAAGGGCGAGAAGGTATGAGTCGGACCTGTTCGCGAACTCGATCTGGAATACTCCGTATCAACTGGCAGACCTGGATGCAAACTCTTGTCATCTTATTTGAATCACGAGCTTCCCAACTTGTCTACCTTGCCAGATATCTTCAATTGCCTCGTCAGCCTGAGAGAAATCATAGACCTTGTCGATAATGTCGTCGAAGCGCATTTGCGTCGCTGACAAAGCAGCGCAAAGATCCTCCTGCTCGAGTCTCGATCCGGCATTGATTCCCCTGAGTTTTGGATTAGCCGTCAAACGGGTTTTGCAACACTGAGACGAGACAGAATCCCTACCTTAAGATGATTCTGCGATCGATGAGAAGGGGAATAAACTCCGCCAGGTCATCGAGGTTCTGCTTGCTCAGGTACCCGACTTGGCTGATGGTCCCGCCTCGCCGCGTACATTTCATGCTCTTCACCAAGGTTTGAGTGCCGCCAATTTCGACAACTAGATCAACGCCTGTGCCATCGGTAAGTTTCAGGACCTCTTCGTGCCACTGGGGGTTCGTCGCATAGTTGACGGTGAGAAGCGGCGGGTTTGAGAACTGCTTCCTCATCCTCTCTAGTTTGGCGTCACTCGAAGAGCTTAGAATCACCTTGAGTCCGGCCGTTCGAGCAAGTTTTAGTGCGATCATGGCAACGCCGCCGGTGCCTGTTTCCGCAGCTTGTTAGTGGGCTTCTGCCGCTACAAGCTGTGCATATATATGTGCTCGTACCTTGGATCAAGACGCTCTTTCCAATACCAATCCCTAGCAGAGAAGTCCACGCAGTCACTCCGGCGCAGGGAATCAGGCAGGCTTGCACCCAGTCAAGATGCTTCGGCAACCTCGTCAGTTTCTCTTCACTGAAGACCAGATAGTCGGCCAGAACTCCGTCCTCGTCGGCTGCTAACCAAGACCTTTTTGATTCTCGGCCAGTCAAGTTCTCGGTGTCGATGATGGGCGCGACCCTGTCTCCAACCTGCAACGTTCTCACCCCTTCACCAACGGCTATGACCTCCCCAGCCGCATCGTTGCACGGTATACCATGTGGCGTGACCGGCCACGGGTTGCCGCCGTTGGCGATATTGGCGTCTCGGTAATTGAGAGAGACGGCATGCACCTTGATCAGCACCGAGGTCGCAGCGAGTGGAAGCGGTAGATCTTCAGTCACGAGCTTCACCCTCGATTTATTCGGGGTGTAGTCATCTGTCCGCCGATAGACCCGGCGGGTTGTGACCTGGACATGGGCCATGATTGCTCCTTGGATGAATTCATGGGAGAGAGGCGAAACCGCCATGTCCTTCTGCTGGGGATTTGGCCTGCTTACCCAATTAGGCCAAAAAGTCCCAACCCGCCAACCACATCATCCTGAACCATGTATTGCGACACTTTGCACGATCGACAATTAGAGCACTTCTCGATCGGGCAGTTTTTCACCAGGAATCACTTTTGGAGGCAGGTCATGCAAAATGCAGCGCAAACGCCGCAGACGACCGAGGGGTCATGCCATCCTGCGGACCTAACATGGCCATGTGTTATGGTGATCCCGTGGAATATAGGAAAGATAAATAACGTGCCCTAGTCTCAGCTTTCACCTTCAGTCATCACCAAGGACCTGAAACGATCCGAGTCTCTCAAGCTCACTTCGCGCAGTCTCTTCTGATCAAACAGACACCTTCTAAGATGGCTATCCTCAACTATCTTGGTTTCGGAGGCTCCGCGCCAGTAGCCAAGCCCAGCTCGAAAAGCCCAGTCAGGGCCCTGCCAGCGAGCTGGTACACGTCTGAAGACATGTACCAGCTCGAGAGACGAGCGATCTTCTCCAGACGATGGATGCTCATCACGCATAAGTCGAGACTCAGCCAAGGAGGGGACTACCTGAAATTCGACATTGCCGGCTATGAGTTTGTCCTGTGCCGGGATCGAAAGGGACAAATTAATGGATTCCACAATGTTTGTCGTCACCGCGCATTCCCCGTTGTGCAAGGGCAAGAGGGATCAACCAAGGTCTTTGCATGCAAGTATCATGGCTGGTCATATGGTCTCGATGGCAAACTCGCAAAGGCACCAAAGTACGACGAACTTGAAGGCTTTGATAAGTCACAGAACGGCTTGTTTCCTATCCATGTACGTGTCGATGCCTGCGGGTTCGTCTGGGTCAATCTTGACAGCAAGGAGACTCCGGAAATACAGTGGGAGGAGGACTTCAACGGGGTCGACACGCAAGAGCGCTATAACGTCTACAACTTTGACGATTACGTCCTCGACCATGAGTACAAACTGGACGGTGCATACAATTGGAAGATCCTGGCCGACAATTTCAACGAGTGCTATCACTGTCCCACCGCCCATCCAGATATACCCACGCTAGCAGATATCGAGACGCACCATGTTTCCGGCGTCGACGGATACATCAAGCATCAGTCTGTACCCACGGAGGAGCAGAAGAAGCTTGGCATGGCCATTGCCAGCACTTACTTTTTCCCCAATGTTTCCATTTCAGTTCTGTAAATGGCGCCATCCAGGACTGGAAAGCAGGTTGCTGACAAGACTCATAGGCCACACTTCATCATGCTTCAGCGCTTCCTGCCCAACGGACCAAAGAGCTCATCAATGCACTATCAGATCTACCGAAACAAGAACTCATCCGAAGAGGACTTCCAACGTATCCACAAGCTATATGCCAAAGTGGTGTCTGAGGACAAAATGCTCTGCGAACTCTCGCAGAAGAACCTTAACGCGGGCGTGTTCGTGAATGGTCAGATGCATCCGAGACTGGAGAGAGGCCCTCTGTACTTCCAGCAGCGCGCACGCGAGGCAATCTGGGACCACGTGGAACGGGAGAAGGCCGCGAAGCAAGAGATATGGCCTGCTCAGCAGAACCTGCCTGATGATGCCGTTGTGAGCAAGGAGGATGTGGAGCTTTGCTCCGGTCTGAGTTGCCAACCACATCAAAGAGGTCTGGCGTGGTGAGAGATACAGTGTTGGCTTTCACATTCTTTTCATGCCTCGAGCACTTTGGATCCAGAGTAAGTCTCCCACTTCACACAAGCATTACTGTAGTTGGTCAGTATTATAGTTCACTTGAATGGCGGTATGGACCGTGAATGAAGAAAAGTCGAAAACACTCACCTTCCCAGTTCCAATCTTTCATGACTCCCAGCCAATGCAGGTCCCCTCTCACTGTGTAATGCAGATCCCCTGCCCTTGTGATGTTGTCAATTCCCTTCTTGAAAGCCAAGGAGTCTGGAAAATTCGACATTGGCGCCGTGATTCTGGTCGCCACACTGCATCGGCAGCGACGGCTTCCTCCCTCTATGGAATGCGCCGATGCATTGGTCGCCATGGGATCCATGGGAGGGCTGACTCCCGACGAACTGAGCCGGTAAGCACCACAGCTAGGACATGCTCCGCATTTGGCTTCGAACGTATCCCTCCTCCTCCATACTTCCTCAGTCACTCTCTTGCATTTGTCCAATCTCGCAAGGGGCATCCGCTTGGCCATGGCATCCCATCTCTGACGCACCCAGTTTCGATCTTCTTGATCAAAGGCTTCGCCAGCTATTGCCATCAGAGGGAAAGTCTGTACGATCATTGTTCGGGAGGTAACAGGGGTGGTTGCAAGGTAGATTGAAACTTTCTCAGCAAGTTCCCAAATTGAGTGAACCCATGGAAGCTCCGGCACGGCCTGCCGAAGGAGCAGCAGCGCCGTCCAGCGATATGCCTCGGCCGTCTGGATGACATCGGAGGTATGGGACGTAAGACCACCTGACCGATCAGGATCAAAGGAGGGGCTCCAGCCTTCGATAGCCAGCCGTAGTTCTGCCCCTCTAGAGATCACGAACGGAGAGTTGTGCTTTTCGGTTCTCCGTCGAACGGATCTGATAATGTCGCCTAAACGCCCGATCAATGGAAACAGTGTGATTGCACAGCCCATAAGTGGATCGAGCTGCTGTTCCAGTGGCAACAGGTCGAACTGGATATAGCCTGTTACAGACTCCAAATCAACAGACTCGCCTTCATATGACGCTGTCAGGCGGATCATAACATCCTTGTACATCCAGGCGCGTGCGAGGAAGCTCAGACGGTCCAGCTCCTTACCATCTAGACTCGTAGCCTGTTGTTCTTTGAATGCCGTTCGAACAAGATGCCCTGCAATTCTGACGTGCTCAATCCCAAAGTGAGTTTGCTGGGCGTCCCAAGATTCAGCGAAGCCAAGAGCCAATCTAACAGCCAAAGAGGCTTCGAGAGACATCTTGGTTCTGTCTTCGCCCTGTGCGACGGCCTTCAGGCTGGCTTGATAGTGCTCCAAGCCACTCTCATGGTACTGCGGCAGCGTATTGCTCGTATATAAATATGTCATTGCTGCAAGAGCATGGTATAGGGCTGGACAACCGTCGGCCACTGGCCAAACATGGACTCGCCATGGGTTCGTGGTTTTATCGTCCTTGATGGACAGGACATCACAGAGATGACTGTCAAAAAGACGCTTCACCGTCTCCGGTGTGTCCGACACCGCGGAAGGGTGCTTGTGAAGGACATTCTGGTTTCCGGATTCATGAGCTCGCTGGTTCGGCTGGCCTGGAGAAGAAGCAGTTGCGCCTTGCAGGCCCTCAGATGACTGCGGTACGTTACCTGCTTCATTCGCGATGTCTCCAAAGGCTTGCTGTGGGTTCATTGGAGAGGAAATCAAGTCCGGGAAATCTGGCGGCTTTTGCTCCTGCAAGTCGATATTTGGCGCACCGGTCGAGGAGAGCACATGATTGCGGACATCTTCTGACAGCTGGCCTGATGGAGTATTGGCAAGAGAATCCAAGTTGGTAGGCATGGTGAAGTCGATGTTGCCATCATCTATGAAGAAGCCAGTATCGAACTCGACGTCCGTAAAGTCGAATAATTGGTCATGCAGCAATGAAGGCCAGACATGCTCTGAGCGAGCCTGCGTCGATGATGCACTGTTGGACTGGGCGATCTCCACCGTCAAGATCGTATCAGATTGCAAAGGCCATGTTGTAACTCGATCATGTGGGATAGCATTTTTGTAGAGGGCTGGAGGTATTCCCTTAGTCGGGATCCCACCCGAAGTTTGAGACCGCTTTTCTGGGATCTAGTCAGTAATACTGTCTTCATGATATTGGCCACTGGCCTGGCGGTTATATAGAATCAACATACTTTCAAGCCCTCTGCCTTCCTTGGGCTGCTCTCCGATCAACTTCCACTTCAGATCCCTGGCATAGCCGGCGCATTCGACGCCGCGGTCTGCGCATTGCGAGCAGAAAGGCTTGGCTTCTGACGAAAGTCGTCAGCACCTTGTTCGCATCTTTCTGCCTGGAGCGAAGAAGGTTGTAGGCGAAGAATGGAGATCAGGCACGCACCATCACATTTCATACGCCTGGCCTTGCACGTGTTGCAGCCTGATACCCGGAGCATACATTAGCATGCAATTCCAGAAATGTGAGGTCTCAACAATGAGTGACAGCTTCAAAAGAGGGCTCAGCGTACCGGTACGACTTTTGGGTTGTCTGCGTTTCGATATGGAGCCACCCTGCCTAGGCTCGCCGTTGGTGTTTGCAGTCCTGGGTGACTCGGGACGATGAATCCGGGTGACGGCTCCGGGCATTGAAATGGCGTACGACGATTTGGGCAAACTGATAAGGGATTCGGACACTGTGACTCTGTCTTCGGCTGCTATGGTCACGACTTTGTCTCAAGGTCGTTGTCGCTTTAGTCCAAGATGGTCAAAAGTTGAGAAATGTGGTGACGAGGAGGAAGTTAGCGAGCTTCAAAGCCACCTCGAAGGCCCTCGTGCAGTTCCAGGTGCACCACCAGTCCAAACCCCCCTCTTCTAGCGATAAGGCCATCATCCCCTCAGCAGAAAGGCACGAATGGTTAGTCCGTAGTCCAGGCGGAGATAACGATTCCACTTCCATAAGTCCATAAGACGACAACTACTCGGTATTTCCATGCAGTCGGCTTCGGGACTCTATGTAACATACTCAATCACTTGCACCTGCAGTTGACACAAGCGTGCACTCGTGATACACTGACAACTCTCCTGTCTCTTCGGTCTCATGGTTCCTTCCTCAGTGAATGACGGTGTCCGGCCAAATTCAAGGAGACGATGTCGGCCCTCCCGATCCTGCCGGGAATGCAGACGGAGGAAAGTAAAATGTGATCGACTAGAACCGTGCGGCCATTGCGTTCTGTCCAAGAAACAATGTCACTACGGTCACGGATTAGCTCAAGCCAGTCGATCTGTGAATGAGCCTGCTTCCACCAGCCAAGTTGTTCCTGGACGTGGCCCCAATGTACATGTACATGTACCTTACGCTACGCCGCCCCAGGCTTCTGTTTCTGCGATAGGACCGAGTCCCGCCTCGGATGCATCTCGTCTCACTGGGCGTGTGCCAGACGCACAACTCACTGCCCAACCCTCTCGTGGCATTGCGAGGTCTTCCGACCTCGGAGCAACCACCAACACAAACCTTGACAATATCGCAGCTGCTCCACAGGATGGGAGGATTTCCTTAAACAAATCCAGATTGTTCGGCCAGAGCCACTGGACAAATTCCACTCTTGAGGTACCCCGTGCACGCCGGCCGCCCACCTATACCTCGACAGTCTTGGCTAACATCCAACAGCTCCAAAAGACAGCGGCTGTCCTGGATTCTGAAATTGGAAATGCTACCGACAATGAAGCGCTTGCACGGTTGAAGTGGGAGATCGGTTCTCTCCTCCAGAAATGCAAACTCTGTTCCAAAAGAATCAAGTCTTCTCGACCAAGCAGGCGCTCCTCATTTCCACAGGCGTATCCATCAATCGCAAAAGAGGTCGCTGATCAAATGGTACATTTATATGTCACTCGCTTTGAGTCTGTGTTTCGCATACTGCACATTCCATCCTTCTGGATTGAATATGAGAAATATTGGAGCGACCTTACGGAAGCCGACACTCTCCTTCAACTCAAGATCCAGCTTGTTACAGCCATTGGAACTGTTATTCACCAAGATACCATTGGCAAAACAGATATCTACTCAACGGCGCGTCAATGGTTATACGCCGCGCAGGACTGGCTGTCTGGGCCTATGAAAAAGAATCGGATCAGCATCGGTAGTCTACAGGTGCAGTGTCTGCTGATACTGGCTCGGCAGGCTCTTGCCGTCGGGGGAGATATCGTTTGGATATCGATGGGGACAGTCGTTCGGACGGCAATGCAGATGGGTCTACACCGTGATCCGAAGCATTTCAAGAAGATGGGTATTCTGTAAGTTTTGGTGAAGTTGATCAGCATAGATCCTCATGACTGACTGCAATGTTTTCTAAATCAGTGAAGGCGAGATTCGTCGGAGACTCTGGGCCACCATCTTAGAGCTGAACGTCCAAGCCGCCTTAGATGCTGGAGTGCCACCAATCCTTTCATTAGATGACTTTGACACGGAGGCTCCTTCCAACGTCAATGACAAGGACGTTGATGAACAGACGGAGACACTCCAGGAGCATCCCACAACAACGATAACGGACTCATCCCTCCAGCGTCTCTTATTCCAATCGCTCCGCCCAAGGCTGGAAGTCGCCCGTCGCATGAACGGTATAACATCCGCCCAGTCAGAAATGTCGTACAACGAACTCGTCGCTCTAACCACCTCAATTACCAGCACCTGCCGAATCTGCGTTGCCAATATCCTCAGACCTAATAGCTCGGACATCGCCTCCTTCCACGGCAACCTTGCAGACCTCCTTCTCCGGCGCTTTCTACTTCATCTTCATCGCCCCCTTGCTGGCCGAGCCCGAATTAATCCACTACATTATTTCTCCAGAAAGATGAGCCTCGACGCCGCCATGGCCTTACTCTCTCCGGTCCCCAAGAACGCCGAGTTCGCGCATCTCGTGCTAGTCGGGGCCGGGATATTCAAGAACCGCATGATCCACGCGTCCCTGGCCGTGGCGTCGGAGTTACTCATGGAAGTTGAAGAGCAAGGGCCGGTGGAGTACAATTCGCCCTCACAGAAACCTTCTGGATATAGAAAGATGTTGATGGAAGCGTTGAGAGAGGCGCTTCGGCAGTCTGCCGAACGGATTCGACTTGGAGAGACGAATGTTAAGCTACACATGAAGTTGAGTATAGCTATGCGCCAGACAGAAGTAGCAGGCGAGAATTCTTCCTCCATGCAGCAGTTGGCTCAAAGCGCGAAGGAGAGCCTGGAGACTTCCTATGCTACTATTCAAGGGCGGGCAACTGCTGAAGGGGTCGACATAGAGTCTGGAGGAAACGGCGGGATGTCCGAGGACTTCGACCTGGATGACTTCGATCCAGAGAACTTCTCCCTTGGCTCCAACTTCAACTTGGACGACCTCTTCTTCCTTCCCGCTGAATTTGATATGGATGGCATAGCGGTGCCTCCTCAAGTTTAAGGGTGGGGGATAGAAGATACCACCAGCGTCAAGCTACAATGCCATACTATCGTCTACGACCGATGTAGTACAGAGTATCCACTCCTCTCCCGAATCCTGAAATCCCTCAGAGCGTTGCCCTTACCACCGCCCCTAGAACTATTCTGGACTTGACGACTTCGGGAGTAGTATTCCACGGGTCCGCGCACCACATTGCCTACTTCACCCCTGGGAAGCATTACAGACCTTCTGGAAACTTATCTTAAGCTGCTTGAGGGAACGGGCTGTAAAATCCCTAGGTAAGGTAGGTATTCAAGGTTTGACACAAGTCCGAAACCCGCAATCCAGACCGAGTTGCGCGGAGCGGGTGTCGGTCGTAAGACCCGCGCCCGCTTCCAGCACGTTGCGGTCATTCTGTGTCGGTATATGTTATGTATATAAAGCCATGGGAAACCAGCCTTTCAACTCAGGAGAACCTCTCATTTTATTCTATAAGCAAAATACATTTCACTTTCCCATCATCTCTGTCTACACCCCTGACCAATCATGGCATCATCATCAGCTCTGCCCACCCATCACCGGGCCCTCGTCCTCGAAACCCTCGAAGGAGGGTTCTCGGTGAAGACCGTGCCAACTCCGCAACCCGGCCCCGGTAGCGCTGTCGTACGCATCCTCGAAGCCGGAGTGATCTCGTACCATCGCGAGATCTACAATGGGGAGCGACACTATGATTTCCCCAAGCCCATCGTCGGGGGATTGAGTGCCATTGCCCGCATCGCCGCTGTAGGTGAAGATGCCGTGGTCTTGGAACCTGGACAACTCGTCTGGATGGACTGTGTGATCCACGCACGAGACAACCCGGACTCGCTCTTTCTCACGGCCATCCATGAGGGTATGGACGAGGGGAGTCACAAACTGAGCAACGATGTCTGGCGTGACGGGGCGTTCGCCGAGTATATGAAGGTTCCACTGGAGAATTGTATCCGGCTAGATGAAAACCGGCTGTGTCGGGAGCTGGGATACACCATTCGCGAGTTGATGTACATGATGTACTTGTTGGTGCCGTTCGGCGGGCTTCGAGACATCCGCCTCGAGCCCGGTGAGACGATCGTGGTGTGTCCAGCGACCGGAGGGTTTGGTGGTGCGGGCGTTCAAGTCGCCGTCACAATGGGGGCGAGGGTCATTGCCATGGGGAGGAATGAAAAGGAGCTGGCCAGGTTGAAGGAGCATGTCAAGAAAGGGACGCCGGGCGCAGCCGCCAATATCGAGACTGTCAAGATGACAGGCAACTATGAGACCGATGTCGCCGCACTGCAGGCTCTCGGGACCATCGATGCCGTCATCGACTTGACACCTCCATTTGCATGCAAGTCGAAGCACCTGAAGAGTGCGATTCGCTCGTTGCGTCGGCAGGGCCGGTGCAGCATGATGGGCTATGTCGAAGATGTGATCAATTGGAATGTCATGGCCCTGAACATTACGTTGAAGGGGAAGCTGATGTATGAGAGGGATGACATGGTGCTGTTTGTGAAGATGTTGGAGCGAGGCTTGTTTCCGAGGGGAAAGGATCTCGTCGATCCCAAGGTGTTTAAGATGGAGCAGTGGAAGGAAGCGCTTGACGCGGCGGCGGAGTGGACAGGGATTGGTAGGACAGTCATGATTGAGCCGTGAGAGCTAGAGGTCGACGTCTCTGAAGGCAGCGGAGTGAACTTCACATACTACCTGTTAGTTATCATGAAGGAGTCAAGAAGTACTCGGGCGGTTTGCCCTCCCCAGCTTTCATAATGCTTGTCAGAAATAGATGCCTAGCCGAGAGCAGTGAGAGAGGCAAGTATAGCCGATCGTAAAGGGTACATTGTGTTGGATTCTTGTCAGCAACCTTGTTTCCACATGATTCTCAAAAGTCGACATCAGGCACGCGACAGATCTTATTCTTGAATTACGCCTTTTCTCTGATTGCCTTGTCTGGATCGAAGCTCTATGTTGTTCGTCTCTGAGATGTTGATGGTATGATCTTCTAGAAAAAATGGAAGGTGCGGTCACTTACACCGCTGGCGACACAACTACGCCGCCTGACCTTCGGATCTTACATTACAACGATGGTATCCCTCATCCCGATTGTACGTTGCAAAGCTCTGTTCTAACGGTCTTGCTTTGCAGTTTACCACCTCGACGCCTCTTCGGCCGAACCAGTAGGCGGCGCTGCCCGGTTTCAGACAGTCTGCAACTATTATCGCAATGACACTCAATTCTCAGGACAGTCGAAGCTCGCCACTTTGTTTTCTGGAGACGCCTTCAATCCCAGCTTGGAAAGCAGTGTTACGAAAGGTACGCTCAACCCGAAGCAAAGTCCTGCGCACCCTGCAACGTGGGAAGGGAGGCGTTAACATGGGACAGGCAGTCATATGGTGCCTGTCCTCAATCTAATAGGGACCGATGCCGCTTGCGTAGGAGTCAGTCACTCAAGAACAATACTGAACTGCAGATGGAGTTGCTGACGGTGTTGTACAGAATCATGACCTCGACTTTGGCGTCAAACAATTTCGGAGCCTAGCCTCACGATGTAAATTTCCGTGGCTACTGGCGAATGTCCTTGGTCTTGATATCTCTTCTACTCACAAGATGATGGTCGCTAACTGATTTCCACAGATCCTCAGTTAGGTGATGACGTCCCTCTCGGCAACGCGAAGAAAACAGTCATCATTACTTCTTCGAACGGGATCAAAATCGGCCTCATCGGCCTCGTCGAGCGCGAGTGGTTGGACACCATTAACTCGTTACCACCGAACTTGATCTACAAATCTGTCTCGGCTACCGCGGCAGAACTTGTACCAGGTCTACGTGAGCAAGGGGCCGAAATCATCATTGCTATCACACATCAGCGGGAGCCTAATGACAATAAACTCGCACAGAAGACGCCGGGTGGGTTGATAGACCTGGTACTTGGGGGTCACGATCACTACTACTCGCACACGCTGATAAATAGCACACATGTCTTACGGTCGGGTACGGACTTCAAACAGCTCAGTTATATCGAGGCGCGGCGGCGGCCAAGTGAGGACAAGAAGTGGGACTTCCACATTATCAGACGAGACATTGTATCAGAGATTCCTGAAGATCCAGAAATGCTGAAGATTACGGCGGAGCTTTCGGAGTCACTGAAAGGAAAGTTAGAAAAGCCGCTGGGTTATACTGCGGCCCCGCTTGATGCAAGATTCACTACTGTCCGGCTGAAAGAGTCGAATTTGGGCAACTTCGTGTGTGATCTGATGCGGTTGCATTATGACGGAGACTGCTGCCTGGTGGCCGCTGGCACCATTCGAGGAGATCAGGTCTATCCGCCGGGTGTGCTGAAGTTGAAGGACATTCTGAATTGGTAAGTTTCAATGTCTGGAGAATGAAGCAGACGCGCTACTAACGTGGACGGCAGCTTTCCATTCGAAGATCCCTGCATTGTTATTCGCGTGACAGGTGCTGCTCTGCTGGCTGCACTTGAAAACTCCGTTTGCGCTTATCCCGCACTCGAAGGTCGGTTTCCCCAAGTATCGAACATATCATTCGAATTCGATCCCTCTCTCCCACCTCAACACCGAATAAAGTGGACCAGGGTAGGTGGTGAACCAGTCGACCTCGAGAAGAAATATGTCCTCGTGACGAGAGGGTACATGGGACGAGGAAAAGATGGCTTTGACTCATTGCTAGTTCAGTCTGAAGGAGGACAGGCTGAAGAGATTGTCTCAGAGGAAAACGGTGTCTTGATTAGTATGATGCTCCGACAATATTTTATGTCTCTGAAGATTCTGGGCAAATGGAAGCATTGGGGCAAGAGCTTGAACAGACACTGGAAGGGAGTTCAGAAAGACCTGCATGAAGCACATCCGGTCGTAGAACCGGCGAGGGCTGAGGAGGACAGCTCGCTGAAGAGGAAGCGGGCAGATACTTTCACAACAACCACGCCACTGGACGACTCGGAAGACGAAGAAGGGCATCACCAGGTGGTGCAGATACCAGACAAGTGGAGCGATCGTGAGTTGAGTATCATAAGGAAGGTGATGCGGAAATGGAGGCGTCTTGCCGGCTTGACGGGGCAGCCGAAGTGCTGCGATAGGATGAGCGAGGAGGAGTTGCAGGTTGACTGGACCAGGGTGAGTACGAAACGAATACCTACATTCTTCCATGCGCTGTCCGAGGTGTCACTGGTGTGTGCAGAGCTTGCTGACATGCTAGTGCAGGCTATCGCACCCCGGTTGGAAGGGCGAATCAAGATGACTGAGCCAGCCGCCCACGGAGGCGCAGACTTGAAGACTGACCATGTGTGAGGCTGTGGCGGATAGATTTCTACCATCACTGCCCAACTCAGGACGCGAGGACGCCTGGCCAAGACAGATCAGCGTGCAAGGTCGAGTGTTGCAACTTTCGGTCATCTACATAATATGCTAGAGCACCTGATGATTCTTGCGGTCCTCTTCTTTCCAAGAATCTTGTCCGCCGGGGCGCACTCACCATCAGCCTCGAGGTTGCCCCGCCTTCAACAGATTTCTCTGCAGCCTTACCACTTACCACTGACCTTTATTCTCCTTGCTTTGCACATGTCAAGTTCTCCTGCCTCAATGTCCACACTCGACATCGCACAGAAGTTGTCTGCTCCATCATGTCAATCGTCGGCATCTCGCCCACTGACATTGTCAATGGTATAAGAGTCACCAAAAGAGCCATCGAAGCTCTCAGAGACCAAGATGGAGCCAGAGATGATTTTGCCGACGCCTCGGCAAGTGTTGGCCACCATATTGATGCCATTCAGAATCTTGAGAACGCATTCAACGATACTTCAGATCGGTCGACGCAGCTGAGCACCGGTATACCAGACAAGGTTCGAGATCGCTGGAATACCCTTGACTCTTGGAAGAGCATCAAAGGTCTAGGTTGGAAAAGTATCAGAACTTGGGGGCTCATGCTGCTCACCCGAAATCGAAGATGAAGAGGACTTTTCGTAAGCTCGATTGAGCTTTCGGCGGGAAGCAAGAATTCCAGGAAGCCAATGGGCGGATGGCAAATTCTTCAAACGCGGTCGCTATTGATGCTGTCGTTATTGATGCTGTCGTTATTGATGCTGTCGT